ACGTGTGGTAAAATAGGACATTATAAACACCAATGTAAATTAAAAAAAGAAAATAGAATCATTAAATCTAGATGATACAATAAAATCAAAATTATATCATATAATTTCTGACGATTCTTCTTCTTCTACTTCTAGTACTTCTCACCTAGACCAAATAGATGATGATGATCTTATATGGACAAACGCTTCAGATTCTACCACTGATACAGAATCTTCTAATTCAATAGAAGACAATGATTGCAGTTGTCCCTTACCTCAATATAATGTTCACACACTTACTCAAGAAGATAATTTCATCTTAGATATTATTGACAAAATTAGTGACCCCAATGAGAAAAGAGCCGTCATTACTCAATTTATTAATATTACCAAAAATAAATCCAAACCATTACCTATCAATAAAAATCTAGATGAATATAATTTTTCTGCCATAATAAAAAGAGTAAGTGATCAACACACTTCTCAGCAAAAGGAACCTACAATCTCAGATCTCAAAAAAGAGATTAAAGAAATAAAAACAGAAATAGGACAATTAAAAAGTAGAATTCAATCACTTGAATTACAACAAATGTATCAACAAGAATCTGATACAGATGAAATAGAATTCAATGACTTAATAAATCTTGATCCAAATCAAGTAATAGATACTCCTGAACCCTCAGAAGTACCTACAGTCCCAATTCCTTCTGTCAACTTAATAAACAAAATAGTTGTACAAAAATGGTTTGTTCAAGTCAAAATTATAGTTACAAAAAATTATAGTTTCGAAACCTCCGCTCTGATAGATTCAGGAGCTGACTTAAATTGTATAAATGAAGGGCTTGTACCTTCCAAATATTTTGACAAAACCACTCAAATATTAAATACAGCAGATGGCAGTAGATTATTTATTAAATATAAATTATCTAATGCTTCTGTATGCAACAATCATCAGTGTATTAATACACCATTTATCATGGTTAAAGGATTAAGCCAATCAGTAATCTTAGGAGTCCCATTCCTAACCTTGCTCTATCCTATAACCATAGATGAAACAGGAATTTCATCAACAATTCAAAATATTCCAATACAGTTTAATTTTATTCATAAACCAAAATTAAAAGAATTAAATAATGTCAAAAGCCAATTAAAGGACAAAGAAAGATTTCTTTGTACACTAAAACAAGAAATTAAATATAAAGTGATTGAAGAACAATTACAAACTCCTTCAATACAACAAACAATTCAAGCATTACAAAAACAAATAGAAACATCAATATGCAGTGAACATCCTAATGCTTTCTGGGAAAGGAAAAAGCATAGTATAAATCTACCATATCAACAAGGATTTGATGAAAAACAAATACTTATCAAAGCTAGACCAATACAAATGAATACTATTCTATTAGATATGTGTCGAAAAGAAATAACTGAACTCCAACAAAGAAAGCTCATAAGACCAAGTTCTTCA